TAAGGTCTCTAAGAATGTGCCTCTTGTGCCAGACGAGGATGCTGAATTAGTATGCACTGCCACGTCAACGTTACCCTTCTTGCTTCTTAACTTTGCCGGGACCAAATAAGGATGTAGCTTCCAACATGTTTCTTTTGTGTGTTTGGGTTTCTTACAATGCCCACATACCACATAAYTGCTGTTCCCAATACTGCCTTCTGCTTGATTCTTAAACTCCATTTCGGTCAAGAACCAGAAGTCTCAAAATTAGGGTTACTACAGTTAAAAACAGCACTTGGACTATCAACCACAATCACAAAATCAGTATAGAACCAATCTGTACTCACAGTGGATGTACATGAAACAGGTATAAAACTGATCTGGAATCAATAACCACACACAACAGCAACAGTCCGAACTGTTTTCACCCCCTTAGTCGAAACCCCAAAAGAAAACTGAAAAACAGTTTGAAGAACAATCTGATATGCTGAAGCCGAATAGGGGTTTTAATAAGTCCTAAAAGTAAACTCTCAGTCGTACACTCCAGACAGTACCGTACGGATAAGGTTTGTAGTAGGGTTAATATAAAACTCTAAAACTGATCAATGTTGAGAACTATTAGGGTTTGTCGTAGTATTAGATCACAAGGTGCAGTCCAGCACTAGGGTTTGCCGCAGGCTTAAGACAAAACCCTAGAGAATAGAAAGATAAAACCCTAAGAGTGGTTCGGCCGCCCTTGCTAGATAGGTCCAACCTATCTTCTCTGATAGTACTTCTCTCAGAAAATAAAAAACTTACAATAGGATGTTGTTCGCTGCCTTCCAAGGTTACCCGAACCCTAGCCTTCTCTGATTCTTCTTGATCACCAACTTGCTGCAACTGTGGCAATTCTTCAAACAGCTGCTAATCCTCTGGAGATCTCCAAGAACTAGTAAACGAACTCTACTTTCTCAGCTTCCAGCTTAGATGGTTCTCATGTGGTCGGCTGGACTAGACTCACATGAGAAACCCTAGCTCTGATACCAAGTAGAAGTTCAGGACTGTTATCAGTCTTGAACCTTAATGGATTTCAGGTTNTTAATGGATTTCAGGTTTGAAAATAAGAAGGAAGGTAAAGAGAAAAGAGGAGGAAGAGGGAGGAGAAGCAGTAGAACACAAGAGTTGAAAAGGAGGAGCAGAAGCTTRATGWTCTGYCGCCGCCACTTTAATTAATATTTATAGGTTATGCTCATTACATGGAAAGGGCAGATCTGCCCTTAGTCTTTACATAACAAATAAAGCAAAAAGACTGAAATAAATAACGCAACTATAACAACTAAATGACCAATAGCTAACCCTAGGAAGACAAGAACACCTTCTACCCTACGAACACAGTGGGACCGTAGCTGTGGGGCCCACATCAGTGTTCTCTACACCTACAAAAGCAAGTGCACCACAAATATATTAATTCACCACTAACTGCACAGGGCTTAAGTAGGAGAACTTATTGAGAAATGAGAATAACCCACATCCCATGATTTAATTAATTATCAGCCAGTAATTAGCAGGTAGACAGTGAAGAGATTGTTAATCTATCTCAGGCATATACTCCTTGATATTCAAGGCCAAAGAAAAAAAAAGTCCAAAAGTCTCTACATATGTGACCATTATCAAGTCTAAATCACTCTGCTTTGCTGTTATTTATAAATTGAAGGGAGTTGACCAGCAGAGAATAATGTGGAAGTATAGGGAAGAAACAAAATTGTAAGCATTGTAAGACATATGCATGAGGCCTATCAGAAATTCAAGAACCTAGACAACAGGATTCGAAACTGCACCACCGCTAGAACAATTCATCCAATGCACCAACTGGGCTACCCTTCAATCTTTAAGCATGCTTTTCATGAACCCATTCAAGTAATATATCCTGGAAGTGTCATTAAGTAACCTGATTACAGATGACAAGTAAGCTTCTTCGGTATCTACTAAGGTGAATTGTAGAATTTGACTAGTGGTTATGTTAATGTGATGAGAGTCATGAGATGAAATAGCTCTGGGAGTATAATGGATGCATATTAATTTACCATTTTCTTGAAATATTCAAGCAGCAATTCCTGCAAGCCAACTGGGTTGAAGGTCGTTGACAAATCTGGTGAGAACTGACTCGAGGATGTCCTATCTTTGTAACTGCAATTCATTGTTGAGGAGAGTTAAAGAGTTTTTTTCCACAAACATCATTCTATAGAAATCTAGATGCTCTAGAATATTACTCAAAGTCAAGAGGGGAACCTAAAAACATAATGCTTTCCCATTACAGCTTTTAGGAACCTCCAAAGTTCTGATTTAAAACACAATATGCAAGCATCAAATGGAATCAGCCTATCTTAGGATAAATTGTGTTCAGATTGAACGTATTACCTTCCAAACATCACTGGAATGGTAGTAGCACTAATTCTTCCAAACATCACTTCTAGTTTTGCCTTGACTAGTTGTACTGCCACCAACTGAAGGTTAGCAGCATCTAAGGCAATCATCCTATCCAAATTCATATCTTTTTCCCTGTTTCACTCCTTGTAGAACAGCATAGAGTTCAGCCTTCATAGAACGATAGAATGATAGAATCCCCAACAACAATGATCCTGAACACAGTGCTATAATATTACCATCTTTGTCTCTAAATGCTCCCCCCACTCCAGAAGGACCCACATTAGCTTAGGAAAAGTCTTTCTTTTGAATAATAAGACTATATTTGTTTTTGGGCCTTTCTTCTGTTACCACTCCACATACATACATATATACATATATATGTAATATATATATATATATACATATATATGTAATATATATATATATAYAYATATATRTRWWATATATATATATATATAYATATATATAWWATATATATATATATATATATATATATATATATATATATATATATATATATTTAAGTCCTGTCCTTTATTGAGGTTCCACTTTTATTACTTGAAGCAGTATACCATCCTCATATAATCTGATAAAACAATTAGTGCTTTGATCTCTTTTTTACATTTTAGGATGGCAAACATGAGTCTCAAATCTCAAGTTGGTAAATATGCCTGAAGGAAGGTGGTTGACAGTGCCATGGCTTGCTAAGCTAAAGTAATTTAACAATGCTATCCCATACTACCCATATGGGATGGTAAACCTGTATTTGAATCAGGTTCTTTGAGAAGTGTAGATCTGAGTCATTAGGCAGGACCATGTGATTAAAACCAGAACTGAACACACACTGGCCCCTACATGAGGCCTCAAATGCATGTATTGTTTACTTTCTGTGCTTATGGTCTGTTTGCTTAGTAATCAAAATATTATGTGGGCTGTTATGCAGAAGTGATTTACTTTACATATTTGTGGTTTGTTGATTCTACAAGTGCAACCCTTGTATCATTCAATGGGTTCTCTTGCATGTATTTTGAAAACTGTTGCTTTCTGACTCTGACCAGGAGAGAAGGAGCAAGCTATTTTCTTTGGTTGTTGCATCCATTTTGCTTTGACCAAGGACCATTTCTTTCTTACATTTTGGTTTCTTATCCCTTCAAACTTTGTACTCTTTTCTTTCTTGTGTACATCCAACAAATCTGAGTACGTTATCTACAAGCTTAAGGAGATGGGGAAGATAACAGAGAAAGATATCTTGCAGATCTACAACCAGTTTGACGGGCTAGACATAGGCAATTGTGGGAAGATCACACTTGCTGATCTTATGGAAAATCATCATTGAGTTGATGGAAAATCAACCGCCCATCTCGGTTTCAATGCATGACCAGCTATAGTAGAGGAAACAATTAAATTATGAACAATCTTCCTGTTCCATCTGAGATTTTATGAATAACAAGAGAGAGAGAGAGAGAGAGAGAGAGAGAGAAAGAGAGAGAGAATCTTTTCTTTTTGGGGATTAAAAGGAAGAATGGGGAAACTAATGTTATACATCTTGTTCGACAAGACCCATAATTTAAAACACTGATCACCCATTAGAGAAGGGTAATGTTATACATTACCGGTGATCAGTGTTTTAAGAGGCTTATGCCTTTGCCTCCACTTCGATAAGACCCTCCCTTTCAACTAATGTTATACATCTTTATTTTTATTAATATAAAAGATTTTTATTAAAAGTAAATAAAAAATGAGATCCCCCTTCCTCTTTATTCTCCTCCCCTTACACCTCTTTGTGCTTAGGAGGCTTATGCCTCTTGCGTTCTGAACTATGCCTCACGCCTCTAGGTAGTGGAATGCCTTGTCTCCACGTTTTAAAACATTGCTGATGATTAATTGTATTACCAAGAGTTTATATTCTAGAAACAAGAGTAAAGTGAAGAACTTTTATTAGTGTAGATCCATGAAACAGTAGAGGCAACTTCGGGTCTAGTTTCTGTAGCATTTTCAAATGGCGCTCCTTGGGTTTGAATTTCTTTACTGCATAATAAATCACTGGAAAATTGATGAAATGTTATCTATCACATTGTCCAACCAATCGGCAAAGGAATCACCAACACTCATATCTGTTTCTTTATCAAATTGGTATGGCTTCATTGGATCTGTTGCCTTGAGAAGATCCTCAATTGGAATCTCTGGCTTTGACCTCTGCAATGGAACCAGGGGATGGTAGTACTTCTCTGGGTCTGGACAGTAGTCCTGAAATGAAAATCAACCCAGTTCACAAAATTGATTTTCATTGCGCATAAGACATCCAAAGACCAAAGTTCTACACATAGTTCCTTACCTGGTTGGCATGCATCTTCCTCACAAATGTCTTGAATATCTTGAAATTCTTCCCTTGCAGCAGATCATCTGATAGACGGAGGTAGGTCATAGCAGCCATACGCAGTTTGGGCGGACCATCTCTGTTGACCCCATTTGGTCTGGCATTCTTTAGGATCTGATTATAAGCTTCCCTATCATATCTTGAAAGAGCATTCTCACCCGCAACATCAATGTTCTCTCTCCAACCTGCACTAAAAACCTGCAACCCAGAAAATATATCGAAATTTCAACCTCACAACCTTGGTTCTACAATATGCTTTCCTGAGTTTTTGTTTATGCTCTGAAAAAGTGAAAATCAACCTGCTGAACAAGTTCCTCAGGGCCACTTTTAGCTCCGCCACTTTGTTCAGAGTCTCTCATCTCAATACATGTGAAATTCAAAATTGCAAAATGCCTAGATAACATCCTGGCTATGGGCCTGTATCCATCACGACTGCCCAAGTTGTAGAAACCAGTGGTAAGCTCTGCAGCATGGCTATCAGCTTTATACCACCAATGGATTCCAGCTACCTGTTTAAGCATCAAAAGAGGGAGTCACCCATCATGTGCTAATCAAATATTAGGTACACAGTCTATAGTGGATTTTGGAAAGACTTACTTTAGCTGCTAACTTGAGTTTACACCCTAGGAAAGCTTTATTGGCTTCATCAAGGATCTGATCTCCATGCTTTAGTAACATGTTAGAATACCAAGTTAAGAAGAATTTCCCTTTCTCAGTGAGATAGGTCCCATTGGTTCCAAAGAATTCTGTAGACTCAGGTGTGTCATTATATGTCCCTGCATTATCTGACAATTTCCATTCTGGATGACCTGCTTCTATTGTAGCCTCCTTGAATTCTGATTTGAGATATTTGTCATAGCACTGCAATACCCATAATTTTGTTAAATCATTTTGTTCAATCGTTTGCATTATACCTGCCATTCAAGCCTCTTTGCCACTCAAAAGAAGTAGCAGGAAGAGACAGAGAAGAAGAAAAGCAACGAATCGATCTGACCTGAAATTCCCCAATGCCTGGAAAGACCCATCCTTGGTTTTGTGGGTAAGAAGGGTATCTAAGCTCCCCACTTGGACCAAGTCCCACTTCAATATCTGTAAAGAGCCCGGCCTCAAGGAAATCTGACATGTTCTTTCTAAAGCTCTTCATGTAGTCGCTATAAACCTGAACAAATCACAAACCATGTTTCAATATCAACAAAGTCTTAACTTCCAAAAGCTTTTGCCACTATTTCTTTCCTTCAAGTACTGTCAAGTGGAATATAATAAGAGAAATGTAAGAATGGGTTCTTAGTCAATCAAACCTCCACGGCTGTTCAACCGTCAAAGAGGGATTGATTATCCACGCCAATGGTGAGATACTCCTTGTTCCTGGTACCAGACTGGTTAGTATAGAAGATATCTGGATCTGATTCACCGATGTGAAGGACCCATTGAGGAAGAGAAATGTTGACTAAATCTCCCACGTTTCCTCCACACTGGTGGAATGACATTATAGCTTGAGATTTCAACTCACATTGTTGAATGATTCTGAACAGACTCCGGTAAGCGCTCCAGTCATATTGCTTAGGGCCCTTGGACTCAACGATCCCCCACCATACATCCACCATCACTCCATCCACGCCTGCTGCTCTCAATTGCTTGAGCTGCTTCTCAATTCCCTCTGTGTCACTTAGCACATTATCAACCGTCACAACATCCAACTGTTTGCACCACCACCACCACCAATATAATAACAGAAGAAAGTTATTTTATTGTTAGTCATGACTAATGTTCATAAAATGTTAAGCGAAATATGGTTCAAAACTTCAAATTAAATGGTACTTACAGGAAGCATCACATAGACGGGCACATAGTTGCAGAGCATCTTCTCTTTACCAGTGAGAGGGGTTGGAGCCTGCATTTTTCTCTTGGTTGGTGTGAGAGAACTGAAAATGTTTCCTTGTGAGAATGAAAATGGAGATACAACTCTAGCTGAACATGGGATTTTATAAGGTTAGGTTACTTGTTTTAGTTCACCCTTATCTTCTCAAGCCCTGGTTGAACTCTAATATGGCCCAGGTAGGGCCGTTGGTTAACTAATTAAATATCATTCGATTACTAATAAGAGCATTTACTTAAGCAGACATCTCTGAATGTCCAAAGCTAAAAGCATAAAAGACATCTCTCTCTCACTCTCTCTCTCTCTCTCTTTACCAAAAAAGGATTACATGGGTGTCATGGTTATTTCACTGTCAAATTTCTGTACCAGTTGAACTGCTAGCGTGGTCCAAAAGTGACAATAAACATGTCTAAAAGGGTGAAGAAGTTTCTTCAGTAGTTGCACTACAGAACATAGATGCTTGCAATGCTGTAAATGCTCCCCCAAGAAGGTTATGCAGTGAATATTACCTTAACTTCTGGTTCTGGACTGACCACGTCTGTTGCCACAACTTTAGAAGTGATAACATTATTCAAGTAGCTGAATGAGAGACCACTTGGAAGACTGAGCTTGTTAGCGTGCCTAAATTCTCCCCTACATTCGATCTGATTGAGGGCCCGAATTTTCAGATGATTTAACTTCGTTCCTTGAAGCCTAATTCTCTCCTCCCATCCAGCTAAATTTGAATATACAAAGCTTATCATGGTGGAAAAACTTATTTCGTTCTCAGCAGAGTGATAATTCTGTATTCCATGATGTTTTTGATTGAAGACTGTAAACTTGTATTCAGGTAAGAAGAAGAAAGGACTGGAAGAAAAATACAGAGCAGAAAAATGCATGGCGCATATTATTGTAGATATGTTTCTACCTTCCTAGTTCCTACTAATCATTCGTGTGTTTTGCAATATGAAATGGAATGGTAGGTATGTTGTGATTTTGAATGCTGTCCTCTAACTCTTACAGGGATGAACCAAGATGATAACCACAGAAAAATTGGAGGTTCTTAACTTTCTTACAGACACCCATCAGTAAACTGCAATCATAAACAGGAAATCAACATGTATTTTTCTTGATTTGCTCAAACAAGAGTTCTTGAAGCTATTCCATTTCTTGCTTTCCTTTCATTAGTTCATGTCCATTGATGTTAGAGTGATTTTGTGGTCTTCGTTTCTTTCACGTAAGTTATATTTTACTGTGATCTGTTATTTGTCCAAGCTTTGAAAATCCTTTTTCTTTTGCAAGGACTGTAAATTGTAAAAGAGCGAGGGTAAAAAAAAAAAGAATCAAAGATCACCATAAGAACACAATGGAAACAGAAACAACAAGAATCCCACGAAGGAGATCAAAGATGGATATGGAGTGGTGGGCCTCAGTAACAATTCTTTTGTTTTTCCTACCAGATATTTGCCTGTGGAGTTATTGGTGAGTCTGGCGAGTGCAGACCCTTTAAATGATCAGTAGACAAACCTCTGGCATGATGATATTCGGCCACGTGAAGAAATTCTTGCAATTCTCAAGTTTTCGGCAAATTGGAATTGAAGTATAGTACAAGCCATTTGCTCAATGGAGAATTAGCCGGTGAGGTTCCAACTTTCCTGGTTCCATATATCACCCATTGGATTGGACCCAAGGAAATGAGAAAGAGAAGTAGTAGCATTCTGGGGTTTATTATTTTTGAGTGTTATCAGTTATGTAAAAGATTATGAGCTTCAAATCAATTTGCTTAAGCCCCTGAGGGCCGCCGAGGGGTTAGGGATGGCCGGATGGGAGGTAAGAACGAGAGTCTAGTTGATAACTCTATTTTGAGATCGGCTTCGACCGTGTTTACACCCTTCGCATGCACACAGCCTTTTACAAAACCTGCATTGGGAATGTCTCTATTTGTCATGCAGAGATATTCCTGATACATGGCTGCAATAAACTGTGCGAAGGCCGCCACTAGGGTGCTCACGGTTCGGTTACCGAACCGGGCTAATTTTTGAAACCGAACCGGGGTTAACTGAAATCGAATTGAAGCTGGTGGGTTCGGTTTGTCAGTTTTTTGGTTTTTTATTATTTATAATATTTATTATAGAAAAATATCTATATATATATATATTAAAATAAAGCGGTCAAGAAATTTTCTCATTTTTTTTAAATTTCTTGTTTTTTTGTTCTATGTCATTTTTGAAACAACCAATAAGATGCACTTTCCCAATAACCTAAAGGGAAATTATCAAAAACTCACCATGAGTTTTCAGCTAGCATTTCTCTAAAACTCACCACAACTTTTCAAAATGTCTAAAACTCACCATGTCACTAGCTTGACGTTAAAGAGACTAATGGCTGTGAATATATTACCATTTTAACCTTCATAGAAAAATATAAAATATATATATACATTTTAATATTTAGACATCAAAAAAGGAAAAAAGTTCAAAAAATTTTTTCAAATGTAAAAACACAGAAATTACAAAAAATATAAAAAGTTATAGAAATTGCACACAAAATAAAAAATTATTTTCAAATTATAGAAACTATAGAAATTGAAAAACAAAATCAGAAAATAAAAAATGTAGAAAAAAACACTAAAATTATAGAAAAACACAGGAATTGCAAATAAATAACAAAAAATGCAGGAAATTTTATAGCTAATAGAAATTAGAAAAATGTAAAAAAAAACAGAAATTATAAAAACATTAGAAATTATAACAAAACACTAAAAATGTAAAAAAAGAAAATTAAAAAATGAAAAAGACCCTTTTCCTCTAACTCACCATTCAAGTGTGATTTGGTCATAAAAAATTGTTATTTATGCTGACGTGGACACCTCTGTTAAGAAACATTAACGGTGCACTAACGGAAGGTGAGTTTTGGAAAATAAAAACTTACTGACATCGTGAGTTTTTAGACGTTTTGAAAAGTTGTGGAGAGTTTAAGAGAAATTCTGAAAACTCATGGTGAGTTTTAGACAAATTTCCTAACCTAAATAATCTCTTATCCTAATATTTATCCTAAATTACACCCCTAACTTTCTCTAGAATTATCTTCAATTCCTATTTATCTTCTAAATTATCTCTAATTCCTATTTATCTCCACAATTATCTCTAATTTAGTAGAGAGTTTCTCTCCTAAATTATTTCTAATTCCTATTTATCCTCTCCCCTAATTTTTATGTATATCTATCTAAAGAAAGTTTGGATTAAAAAATTTAAGAATTATTTAAATATTCTAATAAAATTATATAATAATTTTAAAATATTTATTAAAAAACAAAAAATAATTTTATATCTTTACAAAATATATCATGAAATTATGTACTAACAAATTAAATTATGGTGATGTTTGGAACTATCGTTGTTTTTCAAAAAAAAACGGTGCCACATCGGATCCACATAGGCGTTTCAACAAACGCCCATGTATCTCACTGTTTGGTTCAACCGGTTATTAAAAATCGGCCATGCCTAAAAAATCGGGACCCCACCGATGCATGAAACACCAAACATGGTGTTTCAAGAATCGGTGAACCATTATCTTTGAAGATAATCACTTCACGTAATCCTAACCGAAAGACTAAAACTTTAATAACATTATTTTATGTTTTTTAAAAATTTTATTCTTCATCTCCTTTATGTTGTGTTGTTGTTTGCCACCCAAGAAAGATCTATCGTAATTCATAACTCATAATAAACTATAGTAATTTCTAACACTTGTTTTTCTAAATTTTGTACTAAAAGAACAAAAAATAATGTCAACAAACAAATACTAATGAAACATAGGATTAATATATGTAGTGAAAGATGAGTTAAGATCTAAAATCGAGAAATTCTATGAGGTTTTAAAGGATAGGAAAAAGGTTGGATTGGACCCAACCCGAGCCCAACCCAACCCGAAATTGACTTCGGGTTGGGTTGGGTTAGGTTAAGGTTAAAGGAATTTAGTTAGGATTAGGATTAGAATTGGGTTGGTCGGATTAAAAATCGGGTTGGATTAGGGTTAGGGTTGAGATTTAAAACTTAGGGTTAAGCTTGGGTTGGCCTCAACCCGACCTAACCCGGCACGACTTACAGCCCTCATACTGTAAAAACAAACTCTGTAATTGTGTGAAGCAACGAAGAAATGATCGGACCCACTGCTTCGATTCCAGAATGACAGAAGAGTTGAGCTGCACTGCTGAAGCTAGAAGAAACCGTGTGTGGCTGATTGATGGGAACCCATTAATAAAGGGTAAAATGGTAATTCAGTAACAGTAGTTAGTTTGTTTAGAGAAACACTGAAAAGTCATGATGAATTTTGTACAATTTCCCTAAATTTAAATATGAAAGGATAAAGCCATAAGGCTACCATCTCCATGTGTGATGTACGTGTATTTTTGAGTTTGGACTGGGTGAGGCTTGCAAGGTATCAATCCAAGCCCAACAACCCTAGTCTAAGCTTTTACTCCAAGCCCAACAGAATATCGTTGGAGGGGAGCCCAAATGATCAAAAGATATGGTTGACTGGGTTGGGGGCCTGGTTTTAGCCTTAGAGTCAAAGTTTTCACAGTCTATCTCTATGATTAGGGGTGTCAATTGGACTGGATTTAGTCCAATCTGATTCAGTTCAATGTGAGTCCATTACAAATGGACTAGGTCCAATCTAATTCAATGTCTGGACTGTTCAATCTGTTTAAATTCATTTTAATTTAGATTGGTTTCAACTCAAACCCGGTCCATTGACACCTATATTCTTATTTTATATCAATGGACCAGATCTTGGCCTAATTTAGCCTAATCCAATATAAATTTATTATAAATGGACCAAATTCAATCCAATCTAATAAATAATTTGGACGAGATTGGTCCAATTTAATACACCTTTTTGGTCCATCCAATCCGTTCAAATTGATTTTATATTGGATGAGGTCCAGTTCAAAACCGGACAGTTGACACCTTATCTATACGTGACTAATTCTAGGGTGCATTAAACCCATCCTTGTACCTTTGTCTTTCCATCAATTGTGCCCTACAAATTACAAACACTTGGTCTAATTGTTGAGTTTGCTTTAAAATCTTTGTCACGTGTCTTGTTTCATATTCTAATTCACATTTGTGGAGAAAGGCCCAAAGG